CTGGAGTATTGCGTCAAGTTTTGGACCCCCCACTACAGAAAGGATGTGGAAAAATTGGAGAGAGTCCAGCGGAGGGCAACAAAAATGATTAGGGGGCTGGGGGACTTGACTTATGAGGAGAGGCTGAGGGAACTGGTCTTATTTAGTCTGCAGAAGAGAAGAGTGAGGAGGAATTTGTAGCAGCCTTCAACTACCTGAAGGGGGGTTCCAGAGAGGATGGAACTAGGCTGTTCTCAGTGGTGGCAGATGACAGAACAAGGAGCAATGGTCTCAAGTTGCAGTGCAGGAGGTCTAGGTTGGATATTAGGAAAAACTATTTCACTAGGATGGTGGTGAAGCACAGGAATGGGTTATCTAGTGAGGTGGTGGAATCTCCATCCTTAGAGATTTTTAAGGCCCGGCTTGACAAAACTGTGGCTGGGATGATTTAATTGGGGTTGGTCCTTCTTTGAGCAGGGGGTTGGACTAGATGACCTCCTGAGGTCTCTTCCAACCCTGATATTCTATGATTCTATCATTCTAAGTGTGTTCCTAAGAGAATCTTGCTTGAAAAGGGAAATCCTTACATCTATGCAAATGATCATTTCCAGTGCAGTTGTATTCACAGCAGTTTTCCCTCAGCATCAACAAGATGGTTTGTGAAGTATACTGTTGACATATGCCATGTCTGCATTTTCAGAAATGAGATGAAATGACTGAAGTTTGTAGTGAAATAGAAAAGAACAAACAGTTCTTTATGTACTGGTTTTAAAAGACACTCAAGGATACTAAAATATTTTCTGAGCCATATCCTGTCGTTAAAAAAAACCGTTTCCCACAGACTGGAAAATTCTTTGTGCTGGGACTATGATAACTGAGCTTGTCAGTGCAAGAAAAATACTCCCATCATGTATCAGCATCTGCGAAGCAAAACCAAGTACCCTCTGTTAACCCTGCCCTGCTTGCATATTGAGCATTACATTACACCATGTTATTGCTGCCCTGCCAGTAGCAGAGCACATTCCTTCTATCTAGCATTCCAATTTGCTGACTGACAGTTCTACTGTTCTTTGCATACCTGAAACCAGCTTCTCTTACGGTGTCTTGAATAAGCTTTGCTTGAATCACTTTTTGCAAGATGTAGCGATGGGGAAACTGTCATGCATTATTACTCACTACTAATATGCTTCAAAAGGGAACAATATGGTATTTATGCTCTGTTGAGCTGGCTTCATTTCATGGTGAGGGCTGTGCAGAAGAATCCTCCTTTTATCCTTTCAGCCTTCTCCTTTCTTGGGAAAGGTGGAGAAATTTGTTGCGGTTAATATCATGAAAGGAAATACGTTCCTGTTACTTGATGGGATACCTCATTAAATATCTTCATGAATCCAATGACTCCATTTACCATTTCCCCCATTCATTGAGAATTTGCACCAAAAGAGAGAATCACGCCTGGCTAATTGTGCTTATAACTGTTGATGTTCTGAGATGTCAAGTTTCCGCTCGCAGTTAAACAATTTCAGAGGAAGGAGAGTTGAACATAATTGAACAAGTTTTTAGCTGGTTTAAAATAGAGTGGCTTCAGCAATTTACATTATGCTAATTTATACCATTGGTGTATCTAGCCCAACCAATTAAAGTAGGTAAATGCTACCATTTTCATCCCCTTGAGCTAAACAGGGAACGAAGGCACAAATCCACCTACAAAATCATTGTTTTTTTTTCTATAGTTATTCCAGAAAGTCCTTTAAACCCCCAGAACATGTTAAACATGTTTTTTATTTGCACTGTGATCTCCATAAGGGATGAATAAAAATAACAATTATTTGAATATCTGGGCTTAACTTGTGTACGGTCAGTCACATGTTTAAAATGTTCTCTGTTGTCTGCCAGTTCTTCCAGAGCAGCCCGCAGTGACTTTTAGATTCCCATAATGTGAGAGGACTTATGCAGAGAATATGATATGCACTGTCCCCTACAGGTCAGATTTTTCAAAAAAGCAGAACATCCACAATCAGGGCCAGATTTTCAAAACAGCTCAGTACTTTGGATACCACACTCTTTTGAAAATCTAGCCACTCATTTCAGTGCCTAAATGGGAGCTGAGATATTTTGAAAAATCTGGCCTTAACTGTGGATGTTGCACATTTGAAAAGTTTGCTTTGAGTTCTTGAAAATCTGGCTCCAGAGCAAGCTTTTTACTCTGGTTTTATGACGGTTTCATCTGTCAGATATGTACTTTCTATATTTGTTTGACTAGAGTGTAACTCCCTGTATCAGAATTTGTTAATAGACAGAATAATTCTGGCATCAGGCTGAATTATCTCTTCAGCAGTGGAGATCATTGAAGGGAAACAGCTGTGAAGAAAAGATTTCTTCCTTCCTCCCCATATTTCACAGGATCTGTCAGAGAGAACATTTTGAGTTAGAAACTCCTATGTTTGGCTTGGCAGCAATGAGATCTTGAGCCATCTCTGAAGTTCTATTGTCTACATAGACACTGAAGTCACCCATCACTAAAAGCCTGGGTGAGCCCAGCGTAAGGTCAGATTAAAATTCAGTCAGCTCATCTATATCCAGTCAGCTCATCTATGTAGTCTGAAGTTATGTGGTTCATCATGGGCACCAGAATGCTTCCCAATTTTACCTTGCTCTGGCACTCACACCAAAGGTGACCACTGTCAAAGGAATCTGGATCTAATTCCCCATTGCTTTGCACCTTGTACAATTATCTACACCTGTGCAAGGTGAATGCATAGTGACAGAGGTGACATGTAAAGGTTCTGTGGGGGCACCTGACCGCCCCAAGTGTTGCCTCTGCCTGCACCCCCTGAAACTTGATATGTGTGTAGACAACATACACTATCAACTACCTCCTCCTCCTCTTGCTCTCTGCCCTGTGGCTACCAAGCCCCTCAGACCTTTCAGGCATCCCTCCCTGCCTGAACTAGCCTCAATCAATTTAGCAAGTGTTCAAAACAAAACCAACAAAAGGCCCAACACAGCTGGGATGCACAGTCCCCCATGTGCCATCAGGGTGAGATGGTGTTTGGGCTGGATTGTCTCAGATAACAAGACATTGGAGAATCATCAGTCACTTTTTCTTGGATGGGGGAATATGACACCCCCAAATCACCTCCTTGATAGGCACATTGGAGGTCACAGCAGGATCCACACCTCATTTCCCACTTCCCCCTCCCCCAACCTGCTCCCCACACTCAACTCCCGGTGCTCCTGGCCTGGATGGGGCTCCACTTGAGCTGCCTCATGCTGAACACCATGACACAGTTCCTCTTCCTGATCTCGACGATGCCCCACTGGCTCACCTCAGTGGGAGCTCTGCAAAGCAGGCAGCAAGAAGCGCTGGGACTCCAGCAGCAGGGAAGGAGAAGCAGCCCCGTGTAGCGGGGGTGGGAGCTCAGCCTGCAGCCAGCCGCCCTGCTGCGTCCTCCCTTCCCACGTTGCACAGCCACACAGTGAGAGCCGCCGCCGGGTGGGGCCACTGCCTCCTCACTGATGGACATCCTGGTGATAGGTGGCCCAAGAAATCTGGGGGGGCACCTGACCCTACGTGACACTCCCCTCGTGTTGCCTCTGCATAGTGGGAGTAAAGTACTACTCTGATTTAATAATTTTTGCACACTCACTTTGCACAGATGGACATGACTATACAACATACAGTCCAGTAGAGAATGAGGCCCTCAGGTTTTGGATTGGGGTACCTACTGCTTCTGAACTGAGATATAAGTAGGTCAAAAGCAACAAGAAACCAGGCTGTCAAGAGGAAGCAACAATTATGGGAAGAAGGCATAAGAGTCTAAACATGAGAAGAATGGAAGCAGAGCAGCATATACTACCTAGTGTCAAGGAAAAGGGAAAGAAAGGCAGGAGAGGGAATTTGTGTTCTACCACTTATGGGAAAATCACTCTGGGTATGGAGACACTGCAATGATACACCCGCGGCTGGCCTGTGTCAACTGACTTGGGCTTGCAGGGCTTGGGCTGTGGAGCTATAAAATTGTGGTGGAGATGTTTGGGCTAGGGCTGGAGCTTGAGCTCTGGGAGCCCACAAAGAGGGAGGGACCCAGAGTCTGAGCTCCAACCTAAGCCTGAATGATTATACTGCAGTTAAACAGCCCCACAGCCCAAGCCCCATGAGTCCAAGTCAGCTGCCATGGGCCAGACACGGGTGTTTCATTGCAGTGTAGACATACCCTCGGAGTCTAACACGTCACATGGCTGGGTTAAATGGATCAGAAATGCTCAACTATACCACTGTTAGGCATGCCAAAATAAAAGGCATCCTCGCTATCCATATAGTGTGTCCCATGACGATTGCTGAAGTTTTCAGTTTACCTATAGGTGCTTAGGGTTTTTTCAGTAGTAGCCTATTTCTAACTTTGTCCTCTATTTCTGATTGACTGGGAATAGTTACAAATCTTTTATCTAGCATATGGATGAAGTTGTGGTTGAGTATTCAGATTTGGATTTTGTCTCCCTATATTTTGAGTCCATAAACTGTAGAATGGCACAAGGTACATTGAGAGAGATGGTCTTGTAGGAAAAGCAGATCTGGATTCAGTTCCTGGTTCTGACATAGAATTCCTTAGTGCCTTTGTGTAAGCTCCTTAAACTCTGTTCCCAATCAGTAAAATCAGGCTAATACTTTCTTTCTCCCACCTGTAGTCTGTCATCTCTGTTTAGATTGGGCTAATTTCAGTTGTTGGGCTTCGTGTGCGGGTGCTGGGTGGTGTTAGTGGCCTGTGATATACAGGAGGTCAGACTAGATGATCTGGTGAGCCCTTCTTGCCTTAAACTCTATGAAATTGTAAGCTCTTTTGGGTAGGAATTATCTCTTGCTCTATGTTTGTACAGCACCTAGCACATTGGGTCCCTCACAGAAGTTGGGCCTGTAGATAATACTGAAATGCAAAGAGTACATAATAATAATAATAATTAATAATACATTGAGTTTATAGTTTAAAATCTAACTGTGTTTTGTTGTTGTTTTGTTGTTGAAGCTACCATGTTTCTTGAACAATGGAAGCGTTTACAGATGAGACTAGGTTACTTCTGGGATCTCACTGGCTTCGAGGAGGAAGAAGTAAGTTTCCTTTCTACATATTTACCATTGCAATCCTGAAAATGTACAGTAGTAATTAGATAGGTGGTTTCTTAATATGTACATAATGCATGGAGGCACAATTTAAGTTCTCTCTTTTTTTCTCCAAAAAAATGATTGTAAATGATCTTATTTTGAGTATCAAGACATCTTTAAAGAAATCATTGCATGTTAATTACTGTACTTAGTGTTCAGGTTTATTTTTAATTAAGGCAGAAGAAGATTATATCGTAAGATTAACAGCAGTTCATTCTTAATTTAAAATTTCCATATTCATTTATACAGTGTCAAATGGTAGAATGATGACAGTTCTCTCCTTTGAGTATATTTCATTCAGTTGCTGCTTTATTGTGGCTCACACACATGCTGAGTGTAGAGGATTGTAACATATCAGAGTAGCATACCTAATCTCTGCATCTTGGTCTGGACTGCCTGATTGAAACCAGGGATGGAAAATCCTGAGTTGAAAGTGCTGAGCTGTTGGACTGGTGACACTTGCTGCCGAGGCAGTAGGGCATGTATCCACCACAGCCCTGAATTTGTTTTCTACTACAAATACTGTATGTGAAGAATAGAGCTGGTTGGAAATCCATCCTGCCCATAGAAAATGTTTATGCAAATGAAAAAATATTCTTTTTTGTCAAAATTTTGAATGGACCATTTTGACTTTTAGTTTTTATACATTGGAGGTGAAAACTGATTTTTTTTTTGCCAAAAACTGCCCAAACTACCTGACTGGACAGTATCTTCCATAATGCATTGCTGTCTCCCCTCTGGTTGAACTAGCATGGTGCATGATATGATAACTGTACCTCATAGGAAAGGTGGTCCAACTGCAGAGCCCAGTCCATAAAGGAAAATGGGGGCAGGTGGTATCCAAACTACAACTCCCATGAGGCACTGTAGCAGATGTAGGGGGACACAGCTTAATGTTGAACAGACATTTTTGGGTTTTGGTTGTCTGATGAAAAATTGAAATTCTTCAAAGACCGTAGATGCTGTCCACAAAAATGTTTGTTTGGTCACAAAGCCAAGTTTGACACTCATTTTTTGACCAGCTCTAATGTAGTGTTGTCTTCTGCAGCTGCAGTGCTCATTTTGATGAAATGTTCTCTTTGATTCTTTCCTTGGTTTAAAGAATCTTTTTGGCAATCCCTGCTTCCTTTTTGTTGGGGTATGCTGTGGGCTTCACTTAGGGTTTAGCAGGCCTAGTAGGCAGCCACAACTCAACACTCCCTAATGTCCTGGGATGGCCTTGCCAGATAATCTGAGGGCCTGGCTGCTGAGTTATAGTCTGTCACTCCTCAGCAATCCCTGGGTTCTTCTGGTCAGACAAAGGGAAGGGTAGGGGGACCCAGGCCTTCCCTCTTCACCAGGTCACAAACCAGGGACCAAGGGGGAAGGAGTGAGGAGTGTCTCAGTCGCCTGTAGCTGATCCCCCAGACCAACCTCCCCTGGGCCACTTCCTACCTCCCCTGTTGTCTCCTCCCTTTGGGGCATGATCGTGGAACTCTGCTTCCCTCCCAGCACAGAGAGCTGCTCAAACAGTCTCAATGATTCAAATAATCATTAGAGCCTTCCCACCTTCCTTTTCAGTGTCCATCTATTCCCCCTTGTCAGGGAGAAAGGGAAAGAAAAAGGGGTCAGGCCCCCTACCCTGCAGATTCCTCTGTCTCAAAAGCTACTAACTGGCTTCCTTCCTGCAGACAACCTCTTCATTCGCTCCCTGCTTGATTGGCAGAGTCCCCTTTTAAGCAGGCCCTCCATTTGGAGCATGTTCTGCAGCTGCTGAGGGGTGGGGCCTTCTTGGGCTAATACTGCTCCATCATTCCCTTAGACTTAGTGAGGAGTTGATAAGCCCCATCACAGGGTCTGATACAAAATAATTTTTTTTTGTAGTTACCTAGTTTAATTCCAAGGACAAAACAACAACAAAACACGGAGAAGAGTCTCTTCAATGACTTCAGCTTCTGTCACTATGCTGCTGTTTTCCCATAAATACAAATTATCCCTTGCTGCAGTACAATATCTCTAGTGGAGGAAAAAAGCGGTGGAGTCTGCTTTTGTTACTATTCATATATTAGTATCCATAACAATGTATGTTGAGACTTCAACATGCCACATCAGCCTTTGTCCTTGCAGTTTTTTTGTTTATTTCTTTATGTGTATGTGTGCATTCCTCTTCCAGAATTCAACCCATCAGGCTTCAAGCAGTACCCTGAGTTGATCGGAAAGTCACAGACGATCACAATTACTATTTGCGATGAACCACAGTGTTTCTGAATGCAAATTCTGCTTGCAGATGTTGCCTCAAGTCATCATGGCTTATGGAGAGCTCATCATGCTTTAGTTAGCATCTCTCAAAACAGCCTGTAATTCAGATTGACTCCCCCTGGTAAGCCTTGAGGATGAAGTCCTGGAAAGTGGCAGAACTTTGAGTGAAGTTTCTTGCTGATACTTGGGACTGTACACTGGAATTTTCTGTTTCAGTGCAGGCCTTACTGAATAAGCCCCATGGCAGGGTTCCAACACAATCAAAATGCCTTTTCAAGTCCCTATGCACCAGAGTCAGAGGGCCACCTTGAAGTTTCAAAATACTCTGAATCCTTGTATAAATTCCCTCAAGCTCTCAGTTCCAGCATGGTGGTCAAAGTGACACTCTTTCCTACAAGCACAGGTCAAGGCCTGCACTTGGAGAGGAGGACACACCATTGTGTAACCATCTCACTACTGTGTATACCTGAGAATGCTCTCAACACCTGTTGGACCTTCCTGAGGCTACCACTCACTCAACTCTCCTGTTTCCATTCTTCTTAGGTCAAAGCAGTGCTTAATTTGTGCCAGGGCTTGCCAGGCTTGAGCCCCGGCACCTCTGGGCTTGGCAGTTCATAGCTCCAGCACCTCTGGGCTTGCTGCATCAGTTATGAATGTAAAAAAAATAATCCTTTGAGCCCTGGCACCTAATTGCTTGAACTCTGGCACCTTTTTCATTACAAATTAAGCACTGGGTCAAAGCCCAGGACATAGGCATAGGATGATCATCTGTATGGTCTAGTGAATGCCTTTCACCACATGGATTTTTCATGGACCAAACGCTTTGACTAGTTAAGGAAGCCCCTCAATCCCAATCCTGGTGGGAGGTCCCAGCAATATGAGCATTGATGTGCAGGAACTCTGGCTCCAGCCATTGGCATTGTTGTCACACTTGTCACTGCTAGTTGCACTGAAATATTCAACATTAATGGTGCTTTGTTCCTCAAAGGAGGCACTTCTGGGCCTTTAATTCTCCAGATGGAGTCACAACCCAAACCAGCATGAAAACAAAGGAGGCAGGAGATTTACCTGACAATGCTAATAAGAAGGGATCATAATTTGAGGAGTTCCTTAAGGTCTCTTGCATGTTTCCTGAACCTTTCCCAGACTGAAGATTACAGAACTACTGACTCTTCTCCAGAGGATCTCATTTTCCACTTCTTGGTGAAAAGGATGTTCAGACCATCTTTTCACACTTTGCCAAGAATACCAGGGCAGACTTTACAGCTGCTCTTACAAATCTGCTACCACTACCTCTCCACATGATTCTGTCTCAGCGGGTGAGAGAATTGTGTCACGCCTTTGTTCTATTTCAGCTACCTCTAAAATGGCAGAGCACAAATATCTCACATTAAAAGACACAACTGGAGCTTTCTTTCATCCTCCTGTTAGATTAGAAATTAAACCTGTTACAGTATTTCTAATGCCAAAACTTTAAAAACCTCACACTTTACTGTTTTGATTACTGTGGACCAAATTCAGCCCTTGTGTAATTTCAATGAAATCAATGCAATTACTCCAGAAGGGAATTTAACCCTGTGGCTTAAAACATGAGATCCAACTGGTAAGAAGGTTAACAGTTTATAGTGCTAGTCAGCCACAGTAAGAATGACAAATCCTACACGGAAAAAAATTCCAAAGAATGACTGCAAGGTAGCTGATTCTCTTCTTCATAAATCAAATTCTTAGTCTACTTACTTCTGTTAGGATTTTGGAGATTAAAGTGTACTAGCATGTAGCAGCGAGAGCAACTGCTTTATGTTTAAACACTCACAGGCACACAGGGCTGTCAGCTGCTAGACTTGGGCACGAGGTGCCTCATAAGCCTAAGGACCTGCTGAATGGCAGTCGGAAAAGATGGAACCCAGTGTCGGAGAAGTGGAGACCACATTGATCAAAATTACAGAGCAATCAAACACATGTAGTTCCCTGGCATTTGTCATTCAGCTTTCACCCACTCCAGTTAGTTAGTTAATATGCGTGAAGCACTTTGAAGAGGTTGTGCAAGTTCTAAGTATTTTCAGATAAAAGGATAAGGGAAGACATTTACTAAAATTCAGCCTATGTGAGCTGCTTGTTTTGGGATTTAAAAATACAGTTATATGATTTTTATTTTTGCTTTATCTGCAAGAGGTAGTTGTACTCTGCAGGGATTGTCAGTGAACTAAGCCATGAATTGTGGACTGTGGCTGGGTTCAGTAGAAACAAGGGGCTCCATTAAAAAAGTTTCCATGAAGAGGTTGCTTTTGAAGGTTATTCTCTGTTTCTGAATTTGGGTGGTTCTGGGAGCCAGACTTCTTCAGGAGGAGGGGGAAGAAGAACCAGCAAGAAGCCTCTGTTTGTAATTGCAAGCCTTTGTACCCCAAATTTGTTAGGTTTTTTTCCCCCTGGCTGATCCCAAACCTTGGTCACCTTGACTTGTTGCACATCATACCTGAGGTTGTGGGATACCAAACCCTGTGGGATGGAGCTGAAAGTATGAAAGACAAAGAAAATGGTGATGGAAAAGATGCTAAAGTAGCTCATAAAGCAGCAACCACTGTGGACTCTGCAACAATTCATACAGCAAGTAATGAAGCAGTCAGAGGAAGGGTAAGCAACTCTGGTCCAAACCTTCTCCCACTCAGCAAAATCCCCATGCCTCACTGCTGGACACTCTCTGATGTCAG